GCTATGCATGTATGATGGTAGTCAATAAATAATTCTGGACCAGACAATCTAGTGATTTACATCAAGAGCATCGCCCCACTCAATTGGGATACGATGACATGTGTCTGCGAGCCTGACCACCCGATCCCTTTAGTCGTCTCCTACGACACGCACCGGGTGCTGACGACCAAGCCTTGCCCGGATCTGCACTGAGCGAACGGTGTTGCGACTGTAGTTATAACATGATGATACAACAATATTCCAGCTGTACCCTGAACTGAGATTTGTACTCAATCGAGTCTGGACAAGAAATTACATTCATCAACAGCATGAGCATCGATCTACGCAGTTGGGATACGATGACATGTGTCAACCAAGTCAGCGAGCCTGACCACCCGATTCCGTTAGTCAATTCTTTCCCCCAAATTGACATATCATTTTCAAAAGTCTACTGAGACGATACTGTAAAATGTGTAAAGTGGTATCACATTGCATATTATTGTACCGTATAGAATCGTCTTCTTCTTCATCTCACAAACTCAAACCAAGTATCTCCATCTTCGTGGTCCATTTGGGGTAAAAAGTCTGCAGCGCTGCGTGAGGAATGCAACACGTGACGGCAGCCAGGTCGCGGCTATCTGTATCCCCATTGCCCTCTAAGTACAGTCACAATAACATGATTAATAAACACATGCATGAAGACATATCAATCATTGGTTAGACTGTTTTGTGATCTCACCGCTTTAAGGGCACAGACTATAGCCCATGCTCCACTGATAGTAGGGATTTCTTGCATAATGTGGCAATTTCGAGTCAATATTAACTGATTCGAAAAGTCGCATGTTCAGTCAATTAGCCAAGGGTGCGAATTCTTCAGTATCAAGTGTTATTGACTGAATTTCGAGGGGTTCACAATTACTGATTTACAACCCCGTAAATTCTCTACTTATATGCCAAAATCAATAGAGGGCATTTACAGTTTCTCTTGCTCGTCAGTTACTTCAAGACGATTAGATACGGGGTGCAGGGGGTAATTAACCGAGAGAGCATAACATCTATACCAACTACCCTGTGTGACCATTGCCTTAGCCTTGTCCATCCTCTGTGCTTGGTTTAATGTCAGTTGAAATAACCCATTGTCAGAGATGTCGAGGGAGCTTTGATCACTCCTCAGATTTGACTAATCCAAGGCTTTGAATAATGTCTGATTTTGGCGGATGCTGGGCATCGCTGTGAACATTATAGTAAATCATGTCTGAAGTTTAGTCCATCTTTCTGACGATGTTTGGATGAGATGTGGTTTGATGCGCGATCGATATTGGCATCAGACTGTTCGTCTCTTCACTGTAACCTCTTGAGGAGCATGTGCTGTCGGACCTTGCTTTGTCTGGCATGGGGCAAGCGGAGACAAGGCCTCATGAAGTACACAAAGAGAAAGATTAACTGATGGAAAATAATCATGATTCTTCTGTGACATCCATCCCTCTGTTTCATCTTGCCTCGCTATTGTCTACGTGGTGAAAGTAAATAGCCTCCCCATTCAACTGCGTCGTCTCCCACATTACTTTAAACATCACATTTACGTGGTCAATACAGCGTGGTGGATTACCCAACTGATAATAGATAATTTGAGTGGTATGACACGCTGGCAACTTTGTGATGTGGTTTGTTTTGCAATAATCTGTTATTCCGCCAATAGGCTTATGCTGTGAGCCTTTCTTTGCTCTTACGTGGTGTTTGGTGATTTAGGTTCAGCGATCGCGATCGTTTAAGTTTATTTTTACATTTCCTGTAATCATGAGAAAACATAGTGTCATGTCACTTGGTTCATATGGAAATATTTCTTTCTTCCATATAGCTTTAATGTAAGGTTCAATAATGAATAGCTGTTTGAAGATGATACAAGGGGGTTCTGGAATTTTTGGGCGGTCCCTTACAATACATGCTTTCCATAAAAGGCGGCTTGTGGATTGGATGGTCAGTGACGTCGTCGATTGCGTGAAGGAGCTCGATGGGGTCATTGATCATAACATCAATAACTGGACTCACTGGTTCAGACTCTGGAATCCTGAGTGTGGCGTAAAACAAAAACAAACCAGTGAAACTGTAATGACGTTAACGTATGTGGGAAGGTACCATGCGCGACATTTACATTTAACGTCTTTCAGAACAACGTTTTTGTTGTAGCGACAAGCTTCAGTTGCTAGAGGAACTATCAGAAGGAAACTCGGGGAGCACAGTAGAGTGCTGACAAACCAGGAATCATAACTGGGGATTCGAACTCATGATGAGCGTATCAAGCCTGTTCTGGTGCTCACAACGGCTCCTTTTTTCACTAATCTACTTACCAATGTGACATGATAGTAACAGTATTTCATTTATTTCACGCCATGCCAGCATGGTGAGATGAACTGTTTGCTAACATGGTGTTTGTCTTGTATTGTACATACGAAAATCGTCTTTTATTGTACATACATGCTAGAAACATGATTTATAGATTGTAAATTGGTAAATCGCAGACGCATCCCAGCCCCAAAGTGTAAAAGTAGAAAATCGAAAGAAATAGTAAATTCCGTTAAGCCATATGACATATTCCATGTTGGGAAGAAAGAGAAACATCTTTTTACATTGGTCTATGCTCTTCATATTGCTCAAATTGTCTTCATATTGCATTATACCAAATAACAATGAACGATATGAAGGAGTATTGTTTTACACCGAAATAATAATATTCAAACAACATCATTGGGAAGACATCTGAAATGAGTTTCAAACATGGGCTCGTGACGAGCGAACACTTCAACCACTAGACTTTATTAAGACCCTGATATGAAGAATAGTCTTTATATCCGCTCTTTAACAATTTGTGTGCAGTGAATTAGGTTTTGTTTTGTTGGTTTGTTGTTAAACGCTGCACTCAGCAATATTCCAGCTACATGGCATCGGTCTGTAAATAATCGAGTCTGGACCAGACAATCCAGTGATCAACATCAGTGATCGGAGCAGGGGATCTATATTTCAGATCAAATCTGTACTTATTAGTCTTCGTTACGTGTTATGTGTATAGCATCAACTGTTAAAACGACCATGCTTATAACGATCTGATGAATATAATGAACTGGGCTTTTTTAACAAAGACCACTTTCTATATATACTAATTATTCATGAAATGCATATAACGAACTATGGCTATACCGAAGTAATATTAGTGGTCACCTGGGGTTCGTCATAGCCGTTACAGTTCACTGCAGGTACTATCTCAATACAGAGAGATATCAGACAAGGGTTAAATTTTATCATGTTGTACATGGCTGTGGATGTTAAAGTCGCAAAATTTAGTCATAAAATTAATAATATTGAGCTCATGTCGGCGCTTCATTGAAGTGTGTGCAAAGATTCACAAGTCCGCATGTCCGTCAGTATAGATCACATTATTTGGGAATCAATCAAAGTTTTTTTTCACATTCTGAGCTGAAATCTGTTCATTTAGTTTTAATCTGTCTCCATCGACACATGACTGACAGTGTGTATTCGATTGGCAAGTTGTCTTTATTCTCATACGTCGGGATTATTTGCTGTCATTATTACTTTCCGTGACATTATGACATGTTTAATACGAGGACTCTGCTTCACAAAGCCATCTTAATAGAACAATGTATACGTTTGTTGAAAATCTCATGCGAATCAGAACTACCGCTACACAAAGATCTGTCGACATCCCATAAATGGTCACCGTTTGTGAAATTTGACCAACCAAAGGAATGATTATCAGGAAGTCAACATTATCCGCTCAAAAAGCATTTTTCTATAAATGTATCGCACTTGCTACAAAGTTCTTCATTCAAATTTTGAAAATTATACAAAGAAATTAAGAAATTTCTGACAGATGGCCTAGTATGGGAGTACTTCGTTTTAAACATTAATGTGCTATCATTCGTAATAACCCGCGTTAACCTTTCCGAGGTTGCACGATTAGAAAACACATTCGGACTTCTACTTTCGCGATGCTCTGATAGGTTGAACGATAGGTCGTTTCTTGGTAACCTGTAATGAATGTCTTCAGATTTTGGTGTAGCAGTAGCAAGCTCTCAAGCAAATCTTAAGTAGATACTAGGCGGAGTTCCTTAGTTGTTGTGTTGTTTGTGTCAGGAGTATTGGGAACCGATAAATATGAAGTCCCGATTTACAAGTTGCCACTCCAGCAAATGATAACCTTTATTCGTAATTTAATTGGTATGTGATATTAATTCAGTTATGATATATATGTACATCTTGACAGAGAGAAACAAAATGACTACGTAATGGTTAAGAAAGTAGAAGGACCCATTGTCCCGACCAATTCATAACGTTGAATCCTAACAAACTGAATCTTTGTAACATGACAATGTTTTCAAACCATGTTTGCTACCATTATACACATAATGTCATTGTCATGATGTTTAGGTACTCATGTATTATCAGGAAGCACAGCAAAAGAACAGTTAGCACGCATTAACCACTCAAAAATCACTACTTTCCTTTCAGTGTAAACTACTAAATCAACAGTATTCGTGAAGTATACCATGGCTGTCAAACACCAGAATGTTGATGACACTGATATATATCAACGAGGTACACCTTTCCTGAACGCAATCACTATTTATCTCCGATTCATGAATAGATACTTTAAGAATTACATATCTGATAGGAGAATACATAGATGATCCAGCACACATATCTGTCACTAACGGGCATACATAATGAACATACACCGCTCCTCTTTCCAGGAATGTTGAACTTTCTTCTATGAAGACGTACAACATTCACAGCTGATTATAACTATATATACTTTAATACGCCACCATTTCCACGTTCTACACATGTGCTTGTTGTTTGTTATCAGTAAAATGTTTTCGTGTTATTTACGAACCAATGGTAAGAAAAGCACAACTGTTTCGCGCAGTGAATAATCAGTTACGCTCTTGTCCCTTGCCTGCTGTGATTATTCTATATGTACAACATATGATAACATGTGTATATAATGCAATTCATGATATATTCATATATAACCACAGAAAACTAAAGCAAACACAATAGATGAGACACATTAGAAAACCTCAACTCCCGAGTTCTTAAACTGTCACAATACAATGCCATAACGTGTTCACGAAGCTGGACTTGTACGTCCAGTCCTGGTACATAAGCCACACAGAGACAATGCACAATGTTTTTGTATATACACATATTCATTAAAATCAAAGTCAACGGTTTTAATGTTGAACTGTCATAATGTAACATTGAAAACTGATTATTTACCTCTTGTTAACAACAGTATTCTCAGTAAATATATGTGACGCCATCGGAGGAAACAGTTGGAAACAACGACAGACAAATGTACCAACATCAGTGTGTAATATATCAAGCAGCAGAGATATGGTTGTGACATACAGACAGGAACACAAGTTCACACACTTTCTTGTATGGTCTAAATCTAAATCATTAAGCAGGAACATGTTTTCAACTATTGACGTAAACATGAATATACAGATATTTTGAAGATCTAACAATAAGGTTATTCTGAAACAATGGCTTTTTATAATATATTGGCGAACCGTTATGAAAGGAGCAAAGCAGCTATCTACATATTCACCTGATACATATGCATAAAAATAACATTATTATAATTACAATGCGTCCATGTGACATGAAGCACCGACAACTTTTTCTGATCTCTGATGTACATGATGATTCTCATATGCACAAATAACTACTGTTGTTTCCATCAACACGAACATGTAACATTTATACAAATTCAACAGTTTTCAACATACATCTGTATTGTCATATATTTCACAGAACATGATAGGTGCAGTGTCCGCCACAACACTGGTAGTTTATGGTGAATCGTCTTACAGCAAAGGTCCAGAAAGTAGTTCTCATCTCAAGAGATCAAGTCCTCAACACACACGGGACACGTAGTGCAATCAGCGCATTGTGAAAAGTACACACATGATATTCGTGGAGCCAATACGTAAAGGATCATCCTAGTGTTTGGTCAGGCGTAACGCACGTAGCTCTTCAATATTGCCACATGCATCATACCTATTGGTGTTAACTGTGTCGTGGACACAGATTTGCAAACACGTAATTCTTTTGGTGATAAGCAGCAAACTCGGGGCCAGATAGTTGTTCAACATACGTGCTGGAATTTGTTTAGGTTGAACTGTTTGGCGATATGTTATCGTATATTGAAGTGAGAGGTTCTCAAGTTGAATTCAAAGATAAACATAGCAGTATGGCACTGCCCGTGCAGAAATGTGACCACTGATGACCGCCTCTTTGACGTCAGAACTTCTATAATGTATGCAGTATGAACGATCCAAATGACACATCATCAAACATATTATTTTTGCACAGGGTATCAGACATTTAAATGAGCTCATGTGGGTTTTATTCCTGTAAGAAGCCGATTTAATGTACGACCTTGTCTTTGCGATGATGTTATGTCATGTCTTGTTAAGCTTGTTCCCAATAGTTTTTAGTTATGTCTTTGGAGACATGCGTTGGAGTACACCATCCTTCCTAATGCGCAACTCACACGATGATTTCATTTTTATAACACATTCCGTTGAGCGATAGCGTCTTTTTTCCCATAATGCATCATTTCGTTAGCATTGACAGATGAGGGTAGTCAAATACATTCCAATGAAACATCATGAAACAACGACTCCCATGTGGTACAAAAATGTCAAGGTGTTGGTTATCACAAGGAATGAAATAAAGAACTGACAGCACGATCCAGCATTTTTCGACGCCAGTGTGTGACCGGAAGTGCCTGAAACAGACAGAACGTTTGGCATTAGTATTCTACCTTAACATCAGATCTGGAGTTTCCGCATGTAAAACCTGCAACCACTTTAACCTCCAAACCAAAATTAAAGGATTATACCACACAGTCGGCACGGAACTTGTGAAATTCCCAGTTAGTTAATGACCAATGCCAACACTTCCTCAAGTGGACTGAAGAACATTCTGGTTCGGAACAACATAACGATCAAAGAGGTGGTGAAATTGGGTTTTACGCCGTACTTGAGAATATTTCGCTCATATGACGACGTGCATGCGTGTGTTTGTGTATGTGCGGCTGCTTGTACTAGCCCAGACTGAAGCTGGTTTTATAGTGCTAGCCCACTGTGATACCATACCGCAGTGAAGCATGAATACCCCACTCAGACACATTATACTGACTCCGAGCCGACCAGTCCTTGTTGTACCCATTAATGCCGAGCGCCAGGCAGGGACCAACAAGTACCATATTTTAACGTGTTTTGGTATGACGCAGTCGGGGATCGAACCCGCGACCTTCCGCACTCCGGGCGGACGCTCTAACCACTACACCACGGAGGCGGTCAACGATCAAAGAGGACAAAAGATTAATTAAATGAAATATGATATTATGTAGGTGATTATGTGAATGAATAGTTGAAGACTTGGTGAAATAAACAGAATCGTTTCTGCTAAAAGCTACTGAAAATTATTCTTCGTTGATAAAGAACACATATATCCTCACTTTGATTTTCGAAATGTAAACGGACATCAATCAACAGTATCACAAAATTTCGTTCAGACCCTCTGTCCCAGATATTTTCTTTTAATGTTATCATAATACAAGATGGATTTTGTAACAAGTACAAAAGTGTAAGCGGGTGTTGATCATGATAAGACCTGACAAGGACTTCTTGCAACAATGAATGGACAAAACGAAAACGGAACTTGAAAGAGGTTCTGAGGGTACAAAAAAAGCAACAAAATTTTATGACCGCTTCTTTTAACATGAACGTTCCATTTGGTTATTTTCAGCATAATTTGAAAGAACAACCCTTAGGAATAAACCTTTGCCATATGTTCCCCGACTGGAAAATTATTCCACAAAGGATGCATTCACGAAATGACAAAACTGCAATAAATTGTACGAAATGATCTAAAGAAAACTAGGGCTATCGGCTACAGCTAGGCATGGAGCAAAACAACGGCTGATAGTTTGGGACAAGACAACAGCAAAACACCTACAAACAGGCAGGAAACTGCCCGTGCATAAGCCGTTGGAGACACTGCTGTGTTGCTGGGGTATAAGGGGGTCTGAATGCTGATTACCCGTGGGTATTTGGTCTGTCTGGATCTGTGTGGGTCGGGGGATGGTATTGGGCTGACTGATGACGGTATTCCCTGGGTTGGAGTCAACCTCAGGGGGATAGGTCCGAGTGTACTTCCAGCTGACCGTTGTAACATCTGACATTGACGGTGTGGTTGTCGGAGTCAGGGTTGTTGTCGGTCTCTTGGGATCTAAATGCTCTGAAATGTACAGGTCAGTAATTGCATCAGTTTGTCGCCACATCTTGAGAAACATTGGTTTACACCTGAGTGAGTGAGTACGTGAAGTATACAATATGCACAGAACATCATTGCAGACATTTCAAGGAAGCGACGCACATTAACGTTCTTGACACGTTGTGGTCATGAACAGAAAAGAGCCACAAGTTTTCAACGATTAACCTACATCAAAGATCCCACAAAGAATAATGGTAGTAACAATTTTTTTATTCCGTTTAGTATGAGGACATGACTAAACGATTTAACAAATCACGCGAACGAACCATTTAAATGTAAATTTTGGAAGTTTGGTTGTAAAAGTTAAAACAAACATACAGAGTTCTAAATTACACACACACACGCAAACACACACACAGATATGTATATATACATATATGGATAGATGGTTGGATGGAAAGATAGATAGACTATCATTGAACTGAAACAAGAAAGGCCATTAATATAATACAGTTCCATTTTATGGAAACCTAATGTACTGCAATATTAAATACTTAAAACGCAATATTAAAATGTCAGTAGATAATGGTTGCACTACCATTCTGATGTCAAATTATATGATTTTGGTCGTGTTTCGTATTCATGTTTCAACTTAGTGCACCAAACACTTATTATACTGTGAACTTACACGAACAAATTAACCCTCGATAGCTGTAAATTCGTAGTACAGTAAATGTATCATAACATTGATATTATTTAGAATCATGCAGTAAAAGATTAAGATCAATTTCCTGTATAGATGTCTCCTCACCATATAAGTTCATTCGTTCTTCATCTTGTCCGAGTCTGTTGGACGCCTTGCAGGTATAGTCTCCAAAATCCCTATAGTCCAAGTCCCGTATCCTTAAGCTGAGGATGATCATATGGTCTTCCTCAGCATATATTTCCACACGATATTTGAAACTGTTAGTTATCTGCACACCTTCTCTAGTCCATATAGTTATCTCCTGCGGGAAGGCTGTCACAATACACTCCAGGATCGTCTCCTTGCGCAGCGCTTGGCTAATTCTTTTGTTGGGCAACCGGATTTCAGGGGGGACTGAAAATAGGATTGTTACTAATTTATGAAATTGGCTTTGGATGAGTGCTTGTTGACTGGACAGTCGTACAGGTATAGCACACCTATAGGTTAGTTAACCTCGACCAGACAATTTGGGCAACAAGTTCGAACATTAAATGTCCCGAAGTAAGTGCCACCTGTCTTTTTTGACAAAACGTAGCAAGCATAGTGCTTCGATTCCAACTGCAGCGAATATAAGTCATGTTGAAGGTCAGTGTTGGACACGTGGACATGCTTCAAAGTACTCTTGGTATTCAAGAGACATTGCATCTGTCACCACACTGATTTCTTTAACGTTAAATTTTGCTCTAACTATTTCGAGTGTCTGGGGGGATTGGTGTTTGATTATTTGAGACCTTCAACTATTAACATATACGTTAATATTGCGTTGTTGCTAAACAAATTCCGACATTACTGGAACATTGCTAAAATGAAAGTAAAACCATTCCAAACATATTCAAATACTTTCCAAAGTTCATCGAATTCTCACATATACTAGTATGCAATTGAATGCACAATCCATCATGTCGAATCCCTACTGCAACTGTAGTCAGTCTGTGCAGAGGCCACTATCAGTACGGAATGTTTAACACATGCCAAGCAGCTTAGGTGAGTTTATTCCGACTTTACGATACAATGATAATTCCTTATGTGATCATGCATGGATTTGAAGTAATTACCACTTTAATGTTTTTGAAGCATTATCGAGTCACCTGGACCGACACCAACAAAGTGCAGTTAACACCAAATTGCAACATGCTTTACGTTGTCTCAGGTTAGGTAACGTCTCGATAGCTGGCTGCACGTGGAAGCATAATTGCCTTGTGCAAAAAGACGTTCAGCAAGTTCGCAGAATAAAGGGCACTAACTAGGTTTCCCATCTCGTTGGCAAGAACGAGTTACCAATGGCTCTTGAAAACAGCTGTCACACACCAACTTTGTGGGAACTCATGAAAAAAACTATCAAACTATCCAGCGGCATTGGAAGTATGAAGTGAAGAAGTTCATAGTTTAGCGAATATTTCTTCAAGGGACACCTGATCAACATGGCTGATTCCATTACAATTTTTGCTCTCTCCATAAGCCTGCGTGTCTTATGAATCATAACAAGATAACGTGATGGAAATGAAGAGCGTTTCCATTGATTATTCACAAAAGGGAATTTGAAGCTAAGTTTTGTTCCTGAACATGTGCACATTGTCTCTGAAAAGTTTCAAATGCTTTGTGAGTTTTACATTCACTTTATCTATTATCATTCAGCTCCTTGTCACCTCTTTAGTTTGATCAGCATTCTAGAAGTTGGTAAAATCACGTTGGCCATCCGGACCAGAATAGGCCCCAAGGTCCCCAGGTCCCCATGGTTAGAGCTCAATGCTAAGGCTTTGGTAAGTTTGATGGTTAATGTGGCTGATTGGTTGCCATCTTCTTCGAGAGGGTGTATAAATGCTGATGCTGCCAACATCCTTTTTGTCCAGTGTCGTCATGGTAATCTAGTAATATTATTGAATATGGTGTGGAACGGCTTTCATTCACCAACATCATCACATATGTACTGATCAGTTCAGTTTTCGTATGTGAAAGTATGTACACTCAAGGCATAGATTTATACCTTTTCTACATTCTAATTTCCTGAAACCGATAAACATAAAATAAATCATTGTCCAGAACCAGCTGATTTCAGTTATTGACACCGCATATGCCGAATAAATGTGTGGTTGAGAATTATGGCCGCAGCGGTGAAATGTTGATATGCATAAGTTATACAATATAAAAATAAATTCAATAAAATATGCACTTGAATCCTGATATGGATTGCATTGATTTGCATTCTTATCTTCTTTTATCGCATAATATATGAATTTCTGACTTGTGTGATAGAATAGGAAATAAAAGAATAAGTGGCTTCCAAGCAAATGTCGTTCAAGGTGAACATCATGTATCCATTTCACAAACGGTTGGGATGTAGTTTTGTGGTACTTTAATAGACACAATGCAACGTTCACTGAAATAAATTCTCATGTTAGGACACACTCTTATGAAGATGTACTGCTGATACGTACATAGAATTGAGTATTTTAGGCCATGTGTAACTGAAGGACTTCCAGTCATTTATTATGGCTCGATGGTCATCTTTAAATCTGATCTTGATCATTCCGACGAAACATGAACGACCAGTCTCCTATCTAGTTTCTCTTAAGGAAATTTGGATGTTATTTGGAAGTGTTAAGCGTTCTCGAAAATTCCAGGGGATCCGTTGTGAATTCGCTTGCAATTTCTGTATGCCATTGGCTTGAGATAGGTCATGTGTACATGTAGTAAACGATTGTCATATTATCATAACTGTCTTATGTGCAGGACGACCCGTGAAGGTCCGGGTTAAAGAATTGGCCTTCAGTAACCCATGCTTGTTGTAAGAGGCGACTAACGAGATCGGGTGGTCAGGCTCGCTGACTTCGTATCCTAATTTCGCAAACCGATGCTCATGCTGTTGACCACTGGATTGTCTGGTATATACTCGATTATTAACAGACCGCCGCCATATAGCTGGAATATTGCTGAGTGCGGCGTTAAACAACAAACCAACTAATCAACCCAGTGAATGGCAATTTGTATCCTTATTATAGCAAATGTTTCTCTTTTTTCGCGAAATTTATCCATCGATAACCTAAATGATTTTATTACTTTCATCAACTTCCTCGATATCTCGACAATCCCCAGACTGGTTCCCTCGACCACAGGCATCTGATGTCAAAGACGTCCATTGCCCATATACTCAACTAAACTGCTACACAAGCGCTCAGCTTAATATCCACTCGCGTGCTTTTGAAATTTTAAGAAACACATATGGCCAAAATGACAGATCGCTTCGCATAAAAGGGGTATGATGTACACACTAAAGAGACTGAAGTTTTAGTAAATTCATATATTACACATATACCTGCCAGTTATGACTTAAAAGCACACTTAAGAAAAATCAATACTACCATTACGACACCTGAGCAAAACTACTCACATTCAACTGCTACGTTGATGTGCCGATTTACGGCAGGAGGGACGCCATTGAACGCCACACATTCGTAGGTGCCTCCACAATATCGGCTAACGTTATGGATGATCAGCACTTCGCCGCTAACGCCGATCCCTGAAACATCGAAAAATAACTCACATCTTAACGTTTGAAGTTTATGGATTAAAAGATTCGTGAAGGCTTTCCGGAATAAAAGGCTCTTGGTCGCATGTGCAATGTAAATTGCGGTATTTGAACAAACATGTTTCATACAAAACGATCTATATCGAATACATCCAATTATAACTTTGAAGTTTCTTTTCCTAAAAGTTCAGTGTATATGGCTCAGAACAAGTTTGGAAATCTCTTACAAGGACATTTTCATAAACAACAATTATTGTGGTAGGACCTAGACATAAACTGCAACATATCAGTATGCAATAAAATCACAGCCTTCAACTTCTGATATTACCTATAGAACAGTTAAATACTCCAGGACTTATACATAAAACTTACATATAGTTTAATGCAAAAGTAATATAATATTTTCAATCATTATAGCTCATATTCTGCACCGCAATGCATACTAAGCCTAAACATAAAAAGTGCCGATGTGTGCCAAAAAGTATTAAATTGCCCTTGCCATATAAATATCGAACAATCAGTTTAACTGAGACAACTTAACTTCATTATTCTTATGTTCACAAATGTAACATGATTGTTCTCCTTGATTGATACGGATCAAGATTGTTTTTCAACTGTCATATTATCTTTTTCTGAAATCGGGATTTCTTGCATATAGATGCCATCGACATTTTTTATATATAGAAATGTAGCTTGATATGGACGCAGAAATAATAAAATGACTTGATGAGAAAACGCAACGCAAGATGTCTTACTATTAGTGCCAGGGCAGAACTCACTCTCTTTCTCTACGTCATCTTTCTCTAACGACTTGTGACGGTGCCACGTGACCGTTGGCATAGGGATACCCGTCACGTTACATACCAAGGTCACTGTATCCCCCTCCCTGGCCGTCACGTCATCAGATGACAACTTGTTAATAATTTCTGCTGGTACTGAAACAGGAGCGAATTACACACTACAAAATTACGAGCATGGATGCTTAAGAGGAGAAATTACATTAACATTCCTCTGCAATGGCGTTCCATATGTATATGGAATTATATGAATAACTGACTAAAAGTGTCATAGATCTAGGTGCTGATGATTGATTGTTGAGGAAACGATGACAAATGGAGGCGGAATGAAACGGCGATGCGGTAGCCTAACGGTAAAAGCGTTTGCTCGTCAAGCGGTTCGATTCTCTGGATGGGTAGAATATGTGAAGCCAAATTCCTGTGTCCCCCATCGTAATATTGCTTCAATATTGCTAAAAGCATTATTACCATAGTCACTGAAACGTACCTTCAGATAATGTCAGCGCTTCTTCTCAATATAGTTTCGGTAAATTTTCCTGCTTTAATCTTACGGACGAATCAGGTTTGTTTTGAAATTGCAATATCGACACCGAAGGGTATGATTCATGACATAGTTTATTACCCTCCCCAGGCATTAATTATTTGACCACCCTTACAATTTCCTCGTCTTTCATGTCTATGTACAAGCTACCACATGGGGAAACATACCCGGTACACAGTTCTTTACAAACATCAGATATACATGTAGGTGGTATCTAAGATATGAAACAGATAGGGATCAGGATCATCCTGTGCAGTTATAACGAAAGGAAACACGCTGGGAGGAATTATATGCCAAAAACGATGATGCTAAACCTGTACGCCAAGTTAAAAGTACTAGAACACAAAAACACGGTATCAAATATCTGTCATAGTGAAGCAGAACATAACTATGAATAAAATTATTGATAACAGTCAGCCTTATATTGCATAGTTCACACAAACAGGGGAAGTATAGGAAACAGACTAGCATCTTGGTTTATATCTGAGTATTAAACACACAGAACCTTCAACAGTGAACAGCGCAAGAATACATGGCGTCACAAATTATGTGACGTCATAGACAATTACAAGTAGTACTGCTTCACATGACTTCTATCAAAACAGTCGATAACACAGTCTTTGAATGATATTTTGAAGTGATACACATAAAGTGGGCATTGTATGGACGTCAACTTCTGCACTATGAGGAATACATTTCGGAGTATATTCTTACTCCTGTAATAAGCCCAACACGACATTTCGGAGTACAATGTCTCATAATTCCTTCATAACTCAGAAGTTGATATCCATAAATTTCCACATTTCCCCCTTTCTATAACACCTTTAATCCATTCGAAAACGTATTCACTTTCACACTGAATAGAAACTTTTAACTTCACTGAAAATACAGCTGACATTTAGATTATTCTTCTGTATCACAAGTGAGATCACTCTGGCCTTGAGCACAACTTAACATTTTATTTTGGATAGCTATTCTGTGTAACGTGCTTTCGTTTAAAAGAGAGAAAAAATTGTTTACGTGTAGTGACAAGAAAATTAACAAACTATGCGAGTCTAAATACAACCTTAGTCAGGCACAGAACCCCTCAACTCTATTTAAGTTCAGCTTAATTCCTACCCTTGCCACATAAAAACATAACCACTATAAACTGAAAATATTGAATGTCGATGTTTTCACGGTATAGCCATCGCGGAATTGACACATGGTCGCAGCTGATTAGCAATTAAAACTGATTGACACCACTCACGCCCTCTCAAAATGTCCCGAGTACAAGATAATTACCAACCCTAGGTTAACAATAACGGACAGGGAAGCCTTGACAAGACTCAAATGTAAATGACAAGTTAATGAAATTGGCTTGGAATGGCAACCTTCTCCCCATCAGCTATTCATAGGCCACAGTAGTCAAAATAAATTTCGTCGATCGGCTTGAATTCGTACAATGACCATGCTTACGGGTCGCGCTTCATTAATCTTGTCTCGTTGAATTTGTAAGTATGGAGCAACAGTGACTAGAATTAACTTAGAACTTCTCAGATCTGATAGAGTTTCATCCTTTGGATATGTATACCGATGCATGTGGATGGAGAGGAACTCAGTTCAGGGAGAGAGTTCATACACTGACAGCAAGCACTTGTATGATTTCGCATCCTGCCAGCTCCACTCACATACCTTTGAATAGCTCAAGGTAAACTAATAACCTCACATTATTTGACTAGACAATACGGCACTAGCGTTATAAACTTTTGAGAAGGCAAGGCTAGCGTGATATCCTTCTGTCAACTTTGGTCATCTTTGTATGACATGCAGTATCAGTCTTTGACAATTTATGACCATTTATCCGTCACGCTCGCCGAATTTTGTGATGACTTCATTTTGATCCGCTTTGTAACGAGCGCGTTGTGGCATCAGCTGTCCACATGTAGGTGTTTATGGCGCCTCTGGTCATTCAGATTAGCGTCACCAAGATGTGCTCGCGTGCGCTAATGCACGTTTGGCACACCAACGTGGCGAGTCTGTAACCCTTGTCAATTTGGGCTATTCCGTTCCACCCTCAACCACCACCACCACCAACAACAACAACAACAACAACAATACCACTACCACTACCACTACCCCCACCCGCGACTACCATCGCCTCCAAATATCTACTCAAACACACACACAGCCACACCACATGTACATGCACAATTACACATACACCCCACTCAGATATATATATTTTGTCAGAGGTGGTGCTTGACCCAACTAATGACTCACTGCCATGGTTGTTGAATCCTTCCCCTCTCTCTTACCCTCGGCGTATGTACAATAAAAGTCTAACCAAGACATGAAAGCTTTTCCCATCACCTACTTTCTGAGTAGGCAGGGGACACTTGACAGTTGCACCACGTCTGAGTAGTGCACACTTACGGCGGGAAATACATTTGATTCGCTGTACTTGCTGTGACATGTGTTGAGAGGATTCGGGAACTGTTTCAGAATTGGGTAACCACCCATTCCGTTAGACAATATTGGATAATTTACAATGACTATAAGGTCTATTACGTTGGTAAACCTAACATCTCACACAGTATTGCAAGTGTAGCCCAACTGAACACATTCCTGTTGACAACGTACGTCACAAATGTATCAGTTGTTTTAATATACACTAGACTACCGTTGTAACGACTGACTGACTGACTGAGTTTGGTTTTACGCCGCTTTTAGCAATATTCCAGCAACATCACGGCGTGGGACACCAGAAATGGGCTTCACACGTTGTACCCATGTGGGGATTCGAACCCGGGTCTTCGGCATGACGAGCCAACGCTTGAACCACTAGGCTACCCCACCGCCCCCGTTATAACGAATTCAAAGGGACCATTACTATGAGGGATAACCGTAGTTGACTAATACATGCAAGTGGCAAGGACACGAAATCACAGTTCGTTATATCCGTCAGTTCCTCACAACATGTCGGAGTAAACGACAATAACATTGTTTCTAACCTAAGAATGATCAAGCCATCACGCTTGGCCTGGAAAACACTTTTCCGTTGATGGTTGGTACATCACGATTGTAACATCATCGACCTGTGTCACTTTGCAAGTCAACCTAACCGAGAGGACTGAAATACGTTCAGGTTCCAACTCCGCAGCTCAAAGTATAATGCGGAAACGGGTGGTTCAGGCATCTGAGGTACCATGACTGCTGTGTAGTGTTGCGTCCCTTCCATCCTGCAGGAACCTACGACTGTGGGTTTAATTCCTAAATTAGTTTCTGGGTATATCAGCACTATACCCGTCCTCCTAGGTTACACGTAAGTGGTGAACATCTGCCACATCAACAATCCAGTGGTCAACAGCATGAGCATCGATCTGCGTAATTAGGATACGAAGTCAGCGAGCCTGACCACCCGATCTCGTTAGTCGCCTCTTACGACAGGCATGAGTGAGTGAGTTTAGTTTTACGCCACACTCAGCAATATTCCACCTATATGGCGGCGGTCTGTACATAAACGAGTCTAGACCAGACAATCCAGTGATCAACAGTATGAGCATCGATCTACGATATTGGGACACGATGACATGTGTCAACCAAGTCAGCGAGCCTGACCACCCGATCCCGTTAGTCGCCTCTTACAACAAGCATGGGTTACTGAAGATCAATTCTAACCCGAATCTTAACGGGTTGATGACCGTCTCGGAGTTTCGTGCAACAGTGAACGGAAATGCCGTGATATAACTGGAATACCGCTCAAAGCGGCTTCAAACCCAACTCACTCACTCACTCATTTATTACAAAGGGAATCGTTCACGAAGTAATGATCTTTTGCCAAAGGACTAATCAGTCTCTTCCTACATCGCCCACTACTAACCTCATTACGCACGTCGTTTTTGTCAAGAGCTGCTCACACTCCCATGCTATCAATAGAAGGTCGTGATTTAATCTGCTGCCGTGTTGCTAAACATCAGTTTAATTATTGACGAGGAACCTAATTGAATATTGCACGTACACGACATCAACAAAGAAAGTGATCCACGACCGGTTAGTACTTACCATTCCGTACTAGTGACACTGTCAGGCCCAACCTGCGCACTCCAACCAAACTCGTGCAGGTCAAATGGTTAAGTTAACTACGACCCATCTTGACGTGAAGAAAGATTTTTGATTGGAAAAATATAACTTAAAAAGGTGTACAATTTAGCTTTTTAGTAGGTCACTTTGCTTCTTCCTCCTTACCTTTCCGCAATATACATACACTACATGATGCTTTTCTCAAGCAGATGTATTACTGTTACGTCCTACATGCTAGTTCAAGACTGATCCAAGGGGAATTTCATGGAATGGTTTTCTTTACGAGGTCATGTGAGGCGATGGGGAAATGGCTTGAACCTAGTGTTCTAGATTACACTTGTATCGGAAAGTGCGTATGCGTACGCTCGAGCTGCAAGCTGCCTGTACTAGTCGAACTATTACCGAATTCGTACTGATATCTCAATGAGAGGTTAACATGGATGCTCATTCAGATAATGGGACCAAACCTCATTTTGTCCCCTTAATACTGAGCACCAGATACAGTTAGAACATGCACCATCTTTCAACGTCAATTGGTATGACTACCCATACAGATCCGGGTTAGAATTGATCTTCAGTAACCCATGCTTGTCGTAAGTGGCGACTATCGGGATCGGGCTCGCTGACTTGGTTGACACATGTCATCGTATCCCAACTGTGTAGATCGATGCTCATGATGTTGATCATTGGATTGTCTGGTCAAGACTCTATTATTGACAGCCCACCGCCATATAGCTGGAATATTGCTGAAGGCGGCGTTAAACAACAAACCAACCAACTACACATTGGTATGACGCATCAATGCCCAGAACCACAGACCTTCCACTCACCGCAGTTCATATACTCACGTACATACAACATGTCACTTCATCTCACCTTGTACTTTAAGATTCACGGTCTTAATTTTCACCGGACTTGTATTGACCTGACAGTTGTAAATCCCCTGATCGTTGTGCCTCACAGTTCTGATATGCAAATTCCAGTCTGTAGTATAGGGTCTCTCAACGCTTAAACGTTCATCATCAATGATCCGTCGATCTTCAAAGGTCAAAAGCGTTGACCACTGGTCAGTCCATACAACCTGAAAGACACAAAAAAGTCGTCCATGTTGCAAGTATGACGCATATGATAAAGCCACAATGCCCTTCAAGACGCTGTTTGTGTTGTTGCATCTCGGTCGATAGCTGAGAAAAATCGTTCAGGTCACCTTTGGGGCCCTATGTATCAAAGCTATCAGTTGCTTGTCGAGGGTTGTCTAATTGGACACCGATGGATATTAGGTTTCGTCTGATCTTTTCAACTACATGAAAGCACAACATAATGTCTTGGTTTCTTGAAAATCTCATATCATAATGAGAAAAAAGAGTGTTGTGCATGCATATATGTAAACAAGTTTATGAGTGATCTTTTAAGATGTAAAATCGAAACTGGAACACAACCAACATAAACATGTACATGATCATAAAAAATTATATATCCGTTAAAAGAAGAGGCCATGAATTGGTAATGTTACAAGGTTTTCGCGAAAAGCGTATCCTGCTCCACAGGTAGAACACATCATTTACTACTTCGATATGATGCGAGGCATTCATGTACGTCATTCCTTAGCTGAAAGATCATCTGACCTTGTCCTACCACAGGACACGCACTAAAAGCATATTCTTGGCTAGGGGTGTTGTCGGGGATATTTGCCAGAATTGTGTCTCGGTCATTGCCTGAAGACCAGAAAGTCACGTTTTCTTTGAAAGATTTTTTTTCACTAAACGTTACATTCAGGTCATCTTATATGTCGACAACTTGTCGCCAGGTCCTTTGGTTGTCTTTTAAAACATTTAACCTGTACGATTCAGGTACCGTCAGGTGAAAGTTAAAAATGCCATGGAACAAATGTTCATTTACCAAAGAAACAAGAGAGTCGCAAACAGCACATGTTCTTCAGAACATTACCGAACGTCGACACAAAATAGATCCACAGATATAAATCTTGGTCCGCACATTGAGTATAGTCTTACAAAGTTTCAGCAAATGGGAAGACTCTTACGAAATAAGATAAGACGAATAGTTTCATGTTTCCGTGTGGTGACTGACCTGTGTGTATTTGCAAAGCGATGCGTCTATAAATGGATGTGACCAACTAACCAACGACAACCCCCACCCTCGTATTCCCCTCTCCTCCACCCACCACAGCACGCACACAGACATACACAAAAGAAACCAGGACTCAAGGCAAAGGTAAGTATGTGTACATTAATTGATAGAGCAGAACCCTGATCAGTTACCATATACCTTACATGCCCAATACTTGTCAGCGTCGCCACGGAAGATATTATGTCTCTTGCTTGTCATCTTAAACACGTTGAAAGGGTGTTTTGTTGACTCAACATTGCACCTGCGGCTCTATCTTGATTGCTTTCCGTTACCCGTTACATATGAATCCTTGCTTGGCGCCAAACTCTAATTTCACAGGTCTAACCTTTACTCTAAAAGACGGCCATACGGTCCAGCGTGCGAACGTTAATCAAAGGTGGGCCACTCGAGATTGAAGGCTGGGGGCTGGTCACCGCTAGTGGCTAATGTATCAGTTCACGTGCAGTTTATGCTTACCAACATTAAAAACGTAGCTTCACAAAATGTTTGACAAGTTAGGTGTGTGTGTGCGTGCGTGCGTGCGTGCGTGCTCACATGTGTGTGTATGGCGCGCAATTTCGCTCAATTCATAAGTGTTTCTAGCTTGATCTAATGTCTTCATCGAATGATGACCGTCAACAAATACACAGAGATTCCTAAAAGGGACTCCGACCAATTTAAAGTGCAGGTCTAGACGTTGTAATGTCAGATACCTGGAGGATATTGACATTCCAATCACCTATTCTAGGACGTGCCATAATTTCCGCAGTTCATATTACATATTTGGTGTGGGTCACTGGATGTCCAGTTTTCCAAAGCGCTGGGAGTATCGCGTCTCTTGGACATGTCAGGAGCTATAAAGAGTTCGAATCCCACATCAATAAGAAACATGAGAGTCGTATGTTTCCTCTGAATGATATAACTCCACAATAACTCCACAATCGGTGTCCCATTCCATTGGTTGTTCTTCCAGCACTGAGCTCATACGCGAGGGCGAAATCGTACAATAGTGGCCACGCTTTCATAATAATCAGAGTTGCTACTTTGAACAAGAGTTGTCAGTCTATTAAAGCAAGAGACATACCTGATGTTGACCCAGAAATTTCACAGAACAAGGCAAAATGGCAGTAGTACCCTGCTTGACGGTGACGTTTACCATGGGGACGTCAAAACTTGGCTCAAACGTCACGGCATCTGTAAAATGGAACACAGGAAGGGATGTAAAACAAGTTGCTACTTCAGAATATTCTCCTTGTCATAAAGGTGTAAGACAAGACGTTTTTCTTTATTTCTTAATGATATTGTGAAGGTTTAGTTTGGTTGTTGTTTAACGCAGCACTCAGCAATATTCTAGTTATATGGCGGCAATCTGTAAATTATCCAGACAACCCAGTGATCAACAGCATGAGCATCGATCTACGCAATTGGGATACGTACGCAATTGGAATACGATGACCCGTGTCAACCAAGTCAGCGAGCCTGACCACCCGATCCCGTTAGTCGTCTCTTGCGACAAGCACGGGTTGCTGAATTCTAACCCGTATGTTCACGGGTTTCTTGTAAAGGGGTTATTGTATGTGATAAAGAGCTATGTATATATTCGAAGTCTTTTTCATTGTTATACACGGGTGATACTGTCATATAACATGTAAAAATTATCTCCAGGAACTGTTGGGTGTATTTAGTGAATATTGAAACTAAGTATCAGCGTTGACAAATACAATGTCCTTATATTCAATGACAATGAAAGGGAATATGGAAATAATCTTAAAATAAGCATTTACTTTCAGAATATAGATGGATATAAATGAAGAGGTATCATATTTGGTAGGAAATGTTCTTTTACATCCGCTAGAAAAGCATCATGTGAGAAGAGTCTCCAGAGCCAGATATTATGATTGATACATCACCTGTCAATTAAAACTATTTGGTACAGTTGTAAATTAAACTGAACGTAGGGCTCTGAAATATGGGCGTGTGGAATCCAAAATCTAATTGGAAATATCCATCTAACGTTCCTAAGAGAACTGCTGGGTGTTAAGAATAAAGCTCCCCGATATATCCTGTATGCTGAGACTGAGCACAAACCTTTGTATTGAAAAAAAAAATACAGAAAAAACACACAAAATTATGTAGTAGTCTATGGCATTTATTTTTTTACTGCATCAACCATGTCGTACAAAAATATATTAATCTCTTGTATGAGTGACATTTAAATGGGAAATAATGATACATGAGTAAATCCGTTTTGAGAGAACTGAGAATAGATAATACATATTGTAAGAAAAGCTGTATAAATCAAGGACAAACTGGTTGAACAACTTCTTTACTCGAGTGATGCGACGCTTCGATAAAGATTCTTGTATCGTTGTCAAGCAAGGATTCAAGTATCTGTATCAAAACGTCGCCTCATCCGAATAACGAAGTTGTTCATCCAAAAAGTTTGTTCTCTTCTGATTCACCAACTTCTAAATATGCCACTCAAAGAAGAATAGTCGTGTATAGATCTTTATATACATAAAAGCAGATATAGAATCATCTTCGAAAGGCAGCTTTGAAAAGAACTATGAAAAAAAAAGAAATTTGATATGTAAATTGTATTTACAATATTTGTCAAGTAAATGCAAATTTAGTTTGACCCAGTTTAGACTTTCCTATCACAGTCTGCCGATTGAGGCCGGTAGATAGTACAAATTTAACACAATGCAATTTCTGTATGTAAAATGATATTGCAGATGAATACTATTATCTGTTTAACTGTCAGTATCTTAATGAATTCAGAAAGATATTACTCCCAAAACATTATACTCAGAAACCAACTGTATTCAAAATGATTTGTTTAATTCAATACAATGTTTCACTTTTGATGAACCTCATGTCGCTCAATTATTTGGCAATTAATGTAGAAATATTGCATACTGAATACTGCATTGACTTCAGATTCTGTTAACTCCTCATTATGTTATATTATTATTATAGGATATTTATATAGCGCACATATCCAGGCAACTAGTGCATGCTCAAGGCACTGGTACTTTCCCTCGATCATTGGATGTCAGTTTATTACGATTGTAATAATCATTCGAATTAAATAATATAGAATATCATAACTAATCTGTTGTAGATTAATGTCGCGTGTTGCAATAATGCATGTAAGTCATACTGAATATGGATGTAAATATATTTGTGAACGATTATGCATCTATTGATATAATCGTTATTACACTATTTGTATCTATTATTTGTATTTATTTTTTTAACAGTCGAACGCAAGCAAAGAAGGGAGTGGGGGAGGGGGATATTTGATTTCAATCTTATCCACTAGTCTACGACTTTTTGATAATTTGAAGCCTGTTTACTTAATCGATTCTGATGGGATAAAGATAGAAATTAGGTCGTATATGTAGCATCATTTTCTCAATAAAGTTCCTCGGCTACATCAGATTTTTTATTTGTTTTTGGTTGTTGTTATTTTGGTTGTTTTTGTTGTTGTTGTTTTTTTCCACTGAATCCGTTTATGCTGCTTTCAAAGTGTAAAACAAACGTTAAATATTTTCTCTTTCAACATGCTCATAGTAAATAATTCCAAAGATTTGATAATACTTATACGTTTAAGGGATTATTCTTTCCAGGTCAATGCTATTGACGTTTTTGGTCCCAACCACTTGCTGTTTCATTTTAAATGCGTATATGGAACTACGGTTATGACGAACTAACATGAGTGATCCCTTTGAGTGTGTTACAGCCGTAACTTACTGCATCAAATATTATTGGCTGTTCATGATAATACAGTATACAAATATAGCAGATCACTTGAATGTTAACATGCTAAGTAACACTTTGATCATGATGCTCCTCTTTCAGAAAATCCATTCAGCAGATTAAAGAGATTAATAATGACCCATGACATATATACAAAGTGATGTCTCATCTTGTAGGTAATCGTCAGCATATGTCAGATCAAGAAGGATCAAATTACCAACCACCTTGACCGAAGGAGTCAAGTGGGTAAATTTAGTTTTACGCCGCACTCACCAATATTCCAGCTGTATGGCGGCGGTCTGTAAATAATCGATTCTGGACCAGACAATCCAGTGATCCACAGCATGAGCATCGATCTATGCATTTGGGATACGATGACATGTGTCAACCAAGTCAGCTAGCCTGACCACCCAATCCCGTTAGTCGCCTCTTACGACAAGCATGGGTTACTGAAGATCAATTCTAACCCGGATCTTCACGGGTTCTTGACCAACGGAGATGCGTACAATTGTCACCAGAGCAATGTGCTGTGAAGGCGAATGCAAAGAATACCAACGGGTGTGTTGTCCAAGAGACGCATCGGAGGCGTTGAGCTTTAAGGAGGAGGGTGATCGATGTATTTAAGACGTCAACGCCAGAGATTACTCAGCCTCAGATAAGATATTCCACTTCGCGTCAAATGTAAAACAGTGTCAAACTCTGTATGAATGAATCACTTAGTGTACCACTACGTATTCCCTCTTTGGAACAATCGTAAGTACTCAGCTGATCTGAGAGGTCCAGTTAATAAAACCATTTGCTGACCAACATGCCATCGGTTATTGCATGTATGCGTCTCAATGTATCAATACAGTGTTTATACCTATACGGCGAACACAAGAAACCCTATGGTGTCTGTTTTGAGGTATGGGAAACGTTCAGCTACATCCATGTATCACGTTCATCGAGGGTGGCAGGGAGGGGCAGTATCCAGACATTCCACCCTGTCATTATGGTTGATTCTGTCTGAATCCACCAGTCATCAATGGCTTTTACGAGAACAGTTCACGATAAGAAAACAATGAATTTATACCCACACACAATAATTGGGGAAAGAACTACTCTTGTAATCGATCAGCGGATTTCCTTAAGTAGGTATTTAGTAATAGGTGGCGTTCCCTTGAGAGCAATGCGTGTGTTTATGCAAAGGGGAATCGACATGGGACATATGTACAACCGTCAATCAACGTCAGAAATACGTTTCAGTTCTCATTTTCTATTTGGCAGACATGTCATTGGCAATAACGTATGATAATAATCAGATTCATTCTTTAATACGTTTCAAATACTGTGAGTTGGGCTTGATGGAGAGCTGGAGGAATGTTTAATGCTTCTAAGCTTCGACTAGGGGTCTGCGTTTTCTTGGCCAGTATCATGGGATTCGTGAGTAATCATGCAAAAACTCACACGTTTGTTCGGTTGTGGAATATATTTGGCAATGTTTGATATTTCATGGTATCTATATTTGGGTTTCATTTGAAATATCGTTACTTCCACTTGATGGTGATTCTCTGAAGGAAATGCTTTCTGAGTGAGACTTGAACATTGATGTAACATGTAAACATGCGATGTTCATGATAAAAGTGTGGCATGTAATGCTCTAAAGATCGATGGATGGTTGGACATGTCCAACTGATGTCTGTGCATGGTTTTGTTTTTTGAAAAATTACTTTTGGAGGGTTTTGTAGTCTCAACAACGTCAGATAGTTATAAAAAACAACATGGTAATCATTGTACACTGGAATCGTTTTCAACTTAACCATCGCGTTATTCCAATGATGTTCTGTTTGAAACAATATACAAAACATCAACCCGAAAACATCATCAAATTGTGTTTGTGATCCATGAAATGATGTATGAAATGCTCAAACAGGTATCCGTGTATATCCGTGTATCCTATTTCAACAGTATGCATTTGTAATGATAATATCAGTCTTTACTTTATGTCTACAGTCGTAGATGAACACTTCCAAAGCTCACGAATTGACTCGGGATTGACGTACACGTCGTATTATTAAAGCTATTTAGTTATCGGCGAGAGCATTTTGAGTGTTCTGCATGTTACGACAATCCGAAATTACGCCACAGCGTGTTCAATTACATGCTTGGCAGTGTTTTACATTGTTTAATACATTTTGCAATAATGTGTAAAACATGTTGCTTTATATTTTATAATATATTTTCATTTACTATGGTTAAAAAGCTGCTTGCAACTGTCACTGTTCTATCACGGAAATAAACCATCTGCCTTCAGTGACAGAAAAGGCCAAAGAAAAGGATTACTCTCAATTTTGTTGATTTTGTGTCAATAAACTGTCATCCCAAATAATTCCTTCAGCAAAAAAGCCGAGCTTTCTGTCTAATAACGCGATGATAAATGGCTCACAATTTCA